AGTTATCATAATCTATATGTGGCCAATAAATGCAGAAGACTTTCACAAGGTTGTTGTTTTTAAAGAATAGTTGGAAATGTTAAAGTCAACTGGAGACTGAGTCAAATGAGTTTTCAAGTAACTCGGGGGAGTAAATGTAAGTTAACTGATGAAACCTTTTAATTTGTTATTTCAGGAAAGTTGTTTGTCACTAGATTAAAAATGAGAGGTTGCTTTTTGTGTATTTCTGACTGAAATTGTTGACAAAAGTAAACAAAAGGCTTTTCAAAATTGTTTAAATAATACATTTAATGATTAATCTGCCACGGTCATTGTAAACAAAATAATTGCTGGAGAGAATTGTTGGTTGCACACTTACAAATGAATGCATCATTGTGAACATTTCAGTCAGTCGGCTCTTTGAAATGTGTTTCCTCACAGACCTTAAAAAGGACAAAATAATCCATCAAAATTCTGTACATTTTTCTGGTTGGTCACCTGATTAAACACTACATTGTGGTCTCATTTATTCATCTATTTTATGGCCACTACACTGAGGTATTGATTTGACAGTGATTCAATGTTGGTTAAAAATGCAAAATGTACCTTCCTCTGTTTATATACAGTTGCTTTTTGAAGTGGAACCCTTCAAAAGCCAAAGTCCAGATGATCCTCGTACTATCACAGAGCAGTTTGATGTAAACCAACAGGCTTCTGCAGTCGGTCTCTATTGCTTTTGATTTGCTTGTGATCATGCTAACCCCCTTTTACCCATGTCTTTTTTTGAGTTTGTTTTTGTCTGATCATTTGTTTTATTGGCTAAAGTTTGAGTTTGTCAAGCATTCATTGTGAACTGGCTGAATGTACCAGCTCAGTGGAGAGAGACGCTCAGGTTTACATTTCGGCCTCCAGTCACTGATTTTAAAAACCAAAACGGCAACAAGTTCCTAATGAGGAGAACCACAAGACAATTGTTCGGACTCAGCTGAAATTAAACTATAAATAAAGAGAGAAGAAGAGAGCATTTAGATTCACATCTCATATATGTGTATCTGTATTTCTATGCTTGTGAGGGTCCTCACTGACAAAATGGATTCCTTAGCCCCTAACCATAACCTTAATCCAAACCTTAATCCTAAACCAGGCCCGAACTCTTAAAAACCTTTTGACAAAAGTAAGGACTGGACAAAATGTCCCCACTTTCCTAAATTGCCCCTGCTTTTAAAATTGTCCACACCTACCTAACTTGGAAAATTCAATGGGTCCTCACAAAGAAAGAAATACAAGAACACATAGAGAAAAGCACTGCTGTGTGTCTTGGTAGCAGCAGACACACAGCAGACTTTACTGTCACAAATGGCTGCACCGACCCACTGTACACACACATACACACACTCATGCATTCATGTAAAGTCACACCCATTGGTTATCTTACAAGCATAAGAGCCTTCAGTATGTGCAAACACAGATGCACACACACAAAGATGCACACACACTTGCAGCAATTCAGTCTCTGTCATCAATCACAAACCACCCGCTGAATAACAAAGAGCTATGTGTGTCCGGTGGTGTTGTGTGTGTTTTGTGTTGTGTGGTTTGTGGGTGTGTGTCTGTGTGTGTGTTTATGTTGGCTTTGACCTTGCCACACCTCCTTACACAATAAAAGCAGAGAGATTATGAGAACACCAGGAAGTTAATGTCCCTGAGGAAGAAAATGCACCTGTCACATACTGTCACATACTGTCACATAACTGATCAAGTGTGACAAGCAGGCAAGGATCAATAACAGATGTTATGTAGATATGCAAACAGCCATCAAGGTCAGAGTTAAGATATCTGCAGTGAAGCAAGGAAACCAAATCCATCAGTCACTTCAACAACTAACACAACCTTAATAAGTCTACACATTGTTTGAACTTGTAGTTTGAACAGTATTTTTACAAAAAGTGTTTAAGTTGGAAGAGTAATTGCAAAGTTGACCAATCTGCACTTTCTTTCCACATATAACGATCTTGTTCAGAATCGTTTTTGTTAGGAGCTTAGATCAAATAAAATCAAACCTTGGTGCCTTTTATTATAAAGTTAACACTAAAGAGATTAGGAATGGAGCAATAGTCCCCTGCTAGACTGGAACTTAAAGTTGGGAACATCTTAAACAAGCCCTCCCAGGGTGCCTTCAAAAACTAAGCAATGTTAACCTTCAGGCTGCTCAAACATGTGTCTTTTCTGCCAGATATTTGGATCAAACACAAAGTATTTGACATGATATTCAAACGTCAGGATCACAAAATAAATTCATCTCTATTTCATTTGTTGAAATATTTCAGTCTAAACAAAACTGGTGGACCAACCAACCCAAAGGAATAAACATTTCCATTCCTCGAACCACGGCCCCAGTGTGGTTAACAGTTTACAAAAATCTAAAACTGCTAAATCGTTTTGGGCTGCGACAGTGACAAATGTGATTTCAAGTATGTGAGTTTGTTGAAATGGATTGTTTTACCAATATAAAGTCAAATTCAGAGTGGATTAAACCTTAACGTCATTGCACAGATGAGGTACCAGTACAATGAAATACAGTTTATCATCCAACCAGAAAGTATGAACAGTTTTAGAGTGTGTACATTATGCACAGTATGTACTCTAATCAATGTAACTGTATGTACAACATGAACAAATCTAACATATAAACAGTATGCTAGTATGTATAACTGCCCATGTACACAGAGAATTATGTTATATCAAACCAATAATGTATATTTGTTTAATACAGTATTGTTTAACAGTCAGTTGAATTTCTGAGAAGTTGATTAGATTTAAAAAATTGTTGGTTCTCCGCAGCAGGAAGTGGTGCGTCTCTCTCCTCTGATTGGTCCATTCCTGCCCACAACACACACACGACACACACACACCTGTGGGTTTCTATTAGTTTGAACTTTGTGTTCTCCCTCAGTTTGATTTGATCTTATTTTTCCTTTGAGCCATCTTATCAGCATTCCGCCCTCTCTCTCTGTCCGAACAGGTAAAAAACAAGGACCCCCCGAAAATCGCAACAAAGGTAACCCCTCCATTCATCCATCTGTCCCTCTCTGTCCCTTCATCCTCCCTGTTACTCACCCCCTGCTCACCCTCCACCCAGCGGCGGGAGGGAGTGTCCAGTCCATCTCTCTCTCCTACTTCTCTCTCTCTCTCTCTCTTCTTCTCCTCTCTCTCTCTCTCTATCCTGTATAAAGGGGGACGTTCTCTCGCCTTGCTTTACCTGTAAAAGGGTGCAACTCTCAACCGTCAAGTCTTTGACAGCCAATCACAGCGTCCACAGTTGTCATGGTAACGGCCATAGGTTGACAATGGGGTTATATTTGTGTTTTGTTGGGACATTTTGTGCACAGAGAGTTTTTGCAACAACATAAATTACATTTTGTAGAGAAATTGTGATTCAAAGCATAATGTAATTTGAGAGAACATAAATATGTAATGTAAAAGTGTAAAACCGAGTTATCATTGAGTGCTCATGTTGATAATATAATACAAAATATATTTGAGTTGCCTCAAATTCAATTATTCTTTGACTGATAATAATTTATTCCACAAAATGTAATTTATGTGCTTTGCCCTCAAAATGTCCTATTACAGTCTGAGAATTGAGACACAAATTTAATCCATCAGTGAAGGTTACTCTCACATACCAGTCTGACCTCTAAGGTGTTGACGCAGTGTTGAAATCAAGCGCTCCCCCAGTTCCTTTTTAAATATTTTATATTTCATGGATTTGATGACTGTGTGTTTGTGTTGCCGAAGTCACCGCTCCAACCTCAGAACTCGACCAGCCAACCGTCCTCTATGTCCCGTGTGATCCAACACATGTCCAACTTCCTCTGCAAGCTGTCACAACACTAAGAAACACACACACACACACAATCCCTCACACACGTACACACACACACAGCTCCCCTCCTCCCGACCTCCCACGGTTTGAGCATCTGCTGCAGACAGAATGCTTCTTGATGTACACAGAAACACACACTCTTTGCTCTTGGACACTCATCACACTTTTGCACACAGAAATAATTCACAGAACAGCAGTCGCGGGTGACCTCCACTAAAAACAGAACGAGAACAAAATCTGTACAAACACCTTTAGTCGTATGGACTAGTTTAGAGTTTAGAGTTTGAGCCCACAGACAGTTGTCACCAACTCTGCAGCTCCTTTGAGCTTATTGGCCTTTTTAGCTTCTAGTTTTGGTTTCGCAGCACATTACCGTATGGCTTTAGTTCCAGCACTCTCGTCCACCAACAGCAGCCGGGAGCTGTTTTCACACGACTCCAATGAGATGATGAAGTTTATTTGTGTCTGTTGGATGAGGAAGGAGGCAGCTGTTTGTACTTTATAATGTGTCAGAATTGTGTCAGCTTATGGTGGAGTTCTTCTGCTCCTTGGGTGGCCAAAAATTCTCCTTTCCTTTAAATTAAACTCACTAGGGATGGATACCTTTCTGACACCTTCAAACGCTTCTACTTTGATGTTTTTTTTCCATCACAAAGAGATCATCAAAGAGACTTTCAGTGAATTTTAACGCTTCCTACAGGTGTTTCACTGAAATCTTCCTGAGAAAAGGGGAATATTAGGGCTGCAAATGAGGATTATTTTCATTGACGATTAATCTTCCCTTCACACTTTCTTAAAGCCTAATTTGACATTCTCAAAATTGCTCTTTTTTTTTCTCCACCCGACAACCTAAAACCTGAATATGTTCTGTCTACTGTCACATAAGACAAAAGCAACAAAGCCTCACCAATGAGAAGCTAGAACTAGGCAGTGTATGCTATAAATATCACTTAAACATTTAATTTTCTATAGATGGGCTAGTTCATTAATCAACTAATTGTTTAAGCTTTAGGGGAAATAATGGCTTTTGAGCTGCCGAAAGCTTTTAAAGTGAAACACTTGTGCTGCAAGTTTAATTGACAGTAACTCAACAGCGAGGGAAAAAAACAGCAAAGTAGAAGCAACTGAATATAATTAGTGAATGAAAATGGTATTACTGTTAAAAAAAGAAAGTGAGAGCAACGAGGTTGGGATGATCGACAATTGGTTTTCCTACACCGTTATTACATTTTAATTAACCTACAATGAGAACTGAGATGTTACAATAATAATCTCTAGAATCTGCGCCGTTCTGTGCGTTTAGAGATGTTTCTGCTGGAGCAGCATGTCCGCCTGCTGAGCCCTGTTAATCAGCACAAGAGACAAGTTCATTTTTAATCCTTAATTACAAACCAGTTTGCCATCTCTTTTTCCTGGATCCAACACCCTGAATATCTGTTCTCCATATGCCTGCTCCCCGAAACTTGGCTCTGCACTCCATTTGAGTAGTTAACGTTATGTGGTTTGGATTGTGATAAAGATAAGATTATATTGTTACACGGACCATGATGCGGTGATATTGTCACGCCACCGCAACCACATAGTCTGCAGTGCACCGGCTCCATGCAGGCTCAAGTTGTGTCTCATGGGTGTAACTGCGAGCTGAAGTGTTTATTTACACTTGAAGTGTTTTTTTTTTCCAACAACACACATGTAAATTTGAGGTTGATGTCCACAGGCAGTGAATAAAAATATTTATCCACATTTTGCAGTTTAAGCCAGACAAAGCCATCTCCGGTTTGTAAACCAACAGACTCTCGCCTAGCGACGGCCCACATTTCCCATCATGCCTTGGCTGAGTTTTTATGTTGCAAAATGCAACATGTCCTAATATGCTAATGTTACCTTTTGTGTCTGTTCATAATATGGTTTATGTTGGTAAATGTCATTTTTGTGATGGCTTATAGATGTGGCTGTTGGATTTACAGTCATCCTTGCAAACATTTGACTGATGTGCTATGATGTAGCTCTCCCACTCCCGCATCCCCTGGTTATAGACTCGGCATATTGGCAATCTTGAGTAGCCATCATAGGACCATATGAAAATAGAAACAACCACCCAACTCTAAGAGCAACAGTGTGGTGCTTTGATGCTCTGTTGTTGTACTGATGGAATTAGTGCTGCGGAAATGCCCATTATACTGAATTCATCAAGACAACATGTGGAAATAGGAGTATTGAGTTACAACAAATTAAAGTAGGAGCAGTGGATGCTTCTAAAAATGAATTACTACAGCAACAGAGTCACGTCATACTCACCACCGCTCTGCTGCTCTTTTTAACACCAGTACTGTTTTCATTCACTCAATCACCTCTATTTCTCTTTGTTGTGTTTTTATTTTTTTTCCGAATAATGTTAAATTAACATAAATTAAACTCAACACTTCCTGTAGATGTTTCACATCGTAAACCAACCACCTACCAGAGGAAGCAGGGACTTGTGTTTTGAGCAGCTGGAAGGCTATTAATGTCGAACGTTTGCAAGAATTGTTGAGTTTTGCAGACGGCTCTAAAAAAACGCAAAAGTTAAGGCCTCGTTGTATGGGAGAATTTGTGGAGGCTACATGTTTAGTTTTCCCATCACGCATTTTAACACATTTATTACACTCTGAATTCTGATGAATGTGACTTTCTGTTGACACTGTTGAGAAAAACCAACTGAACCAAAAAGTGCCGTGATGTTTTTTTTGGCTGAAGCGAGGCTGTCAGTGTGCGTGGGAGTTGCACCCTTGCAGTATTAGTGGGCTGTGGGCTGTCGTCTGTTTTGTTTTGTGTATCTTAAGTTTCTTTTCTTTTTGCCTTTTGATTCCTTTCATCTCTCACTGTTGCCTCCTTGCAGGGTGTTGCTCAGGACTTCATGTTGTCTTGTAATCACTGTTTGACTCTCTCCCTCTTCTCTGTTATTTTTATGTCTTGCTGAAGTCTCCTGCAGCCTCCACAGCTCTGCAGCCTCCTCTACCTCCTCCTGTCTCTCTCTGTCGTGGTTCTGCATCGCTGTCGTTTTTTTTTTTTCTGGGGTGATCCTTTGAGTTTGTCTTCTGTTTTTTGACTTGCTTTCGTTTTGATTGTCAGACACCCCCTCCCCTCTGCCCGCCGTGCGCTCTCCCATGGTTCAGTGCTGCGCCTGTTTACAGTTCTGTGGTTGGTCAGTGGGTCTCAGTCCTGTTCATGTGCAGCTGTGTCAGTTAGTTCTATGTTGTGGCTTGTCTTCAGAGTGGACCATGTGCATAAAGCTCCACAGCTTCCTGGTTTGACACAGACTCATCCCCACATTCAGAATGTCTAAATGTCATGTTGAGGTCATGCTGCCATGAAATAACTTCCCTTTTAGCCAACTTCTGTGTGGGGAACTTCTTATTAGGAAACTAATGAAACTCCAAGTGAGGCAGTGACAATAACCAAATCCAAAAACCACATTACTAAACATTAAAGAGATGCTCCCTAATATAGGAAATATTGGTAATCTTTTTTTAGAGACAATGCAACAGCATGTAATTTTAGTGTCCAAATCTCTCTTACATTTTCCATGAAGTTTGCTAGTAAAACTAGTGTACAAAACTTCCCTCGTTTTAACTTGAAGGATACCACCACTTCATTAGGTGGTCTGTGTTTGTTAGATTTGAAATCAGCAGACAAAAATGTGAATTTAGCAGTGTCAAACACCCAGGCCAAATTACTTTACAACAAGGACTGCTTGGTTCCCAAACTGTTCAAATTGAATAGAACTGATCTCAATAGTCGCCTTCGCTGACCAAACAGGCTTTATTACTTGACAACTCAGTAGGCAATAAAAATAGGACAAATAAGAACAGATTCTCTAACGGACATTTAGAATTTTATATAAATTTTATTAGGTTTTAGATGGGCAGAGTTTTGCAGTGAAAACCTGAAGTTTCTCTTGTTAATTAGAAACTTGGTCATCCAGGAATCTAAACCTGCTTTATGTCCATGATCTGTTGGTATTGTTGGTTCCAGAAGTGATGTTGACATTGTTACCAGCAGTGACTCCCCAGTAGGGTTTAAATATAGTAAAATACAGTTGGCTGATGGACGACGTTTGAACATTTGTGTATTTAATTTAACGACCCAATCAGAACATTTCCAGTATTTAATGTTTAAAAACCTAACAAAGGAATTAGGTTGTCAGCCAGTCAGTGTTGGCAGCTCAGTTGTTCATGAGGACAAACAGCACAACACTCAGTGTGTCAGATTAGTGTAGATCTGTTCTGTTTCCATTCATCACCTGCTCACATTTCTTCGGTATGAAACAAACAGCAGTGGATGGAGGGAGTGCAGCTGAATTCAGTGAAAGCTCAAACAGATCAAAAAGCTCCACGTACAATACTACAGTCCAAACAGGATTCCAGCTGATGAAGTGAAATGCAAATACACAGTTTGTTTATGCAAATGAGGAGCAGAGCCGCCAAGCAGGACGTGAAACCAGACGCCATGTCAGACTTCAGAACTCAGCCTCGTTCCAAACTATGAGCTTGGATGTGAAACAAACACAGTGTGTGCGTGTGTGTGATTGACAGCCTCTGGTTAAATCCTCTCTGTTGTATCTGCTGTTCTGTTTTCTGTCTGCTGCTCTTCATTACGAACTGCTGCTCCCAACTTGTCTGTGACACTCTCTGAAAGCTACCTGGACCTTTTCATGAATGTTCTGTGATCATAAATTGATGAAATGCTACCCTCTGCATTCAGCCAAAGGTTACCGTGTTAATGATAAAGATTCAGAGGCCTTTTTCTGATCTCTGAGAAAACGCGTCCGGTCGTTTTCAGCTTTTCCTCTTTACTGAATCTGTAACGTTTTCTCTGCTTCTCTACCCTTCATCCCCAAACCACTCCTGAACCCCGACCCCCTGCTTCTTTTTGTTTTTTAATATATTTTTATTTATTTATTTATTTAATTAATTCACCTTCTGCCAACCCTTCCCTCATCCTCTGCTTCCGATCCCGACTTTCCTCTCTTCCATCCTCATTCTGAAAAAAACACACAACCATCTGCCTCCTTCACACTCTTCCACATCCCATCCATCACTCTGTCCCATACTTCCCTCTCTCTCCCACCTCACCCTCCTTCATCTTCACCTCTCTCTCATTGCAAACCTTTCCCTGACCTCTCCTAAACCTCCTTCTCATCTCTCTTTACTCTCCACCCTGGCCCCCACTCTCCCTCTCATCACTACATTGACCCCTTAAAACCTGCCTCCTCCTCCTCCTCCTTTTATCCATCCACCCCTGCCCCCAACCACAATCTTACCCCTGCTCCTCCCCAGCCAAAACCCAGGATGGCATTGCCCTGGAGATCCAGCCGCTGAAGAGCGAAGAGGCCGCAGAGTCAGAGGAGAAGGAGGAGAAAGAGGAGGTCAAACCGGTGAAGAAGGTCAACGTGACCAAGAAAGAGAAGTCGGTGCTGCAGGGCAAACTGACCAAGCTGGCTGTACAGATCGGGAAGGCTGGTGAGGAACACACACACACACAC